ACGGATAGAGTTGCTGGGTGGGCTACTGTCCATGGGATTGCAGAGTTGGACACAACTGAGCATGCACCCAGAGATGAGTGCAGCTTGCACGTGGGAGCGATGTCAACTGTTTCCTCCACAGTCAGAGGCAGTCTGCATTTCCCCGAACTTGGCCACAGTCGAGTTCCCAGTCCCATCAGGAGGTAAAATCTGTTTGGCCCGTGTGTGTGCTCAGTCGTGTCCAACTCTTGTGACCCCACGGACTGTAGCCCACCAGGTCCTCTGTCCATAGGATTTTCCAGGTGAGAATACTGGAGTGGGTTGCCATCTCCTCTTCCAGGGGATCTTCCTGGCCTAGGGATTGAACCCGCGTCTCCTGCAAGTCTGCTATATTGCAGGTGGATTCTTTACCTCGGAGCCACTGGGGAACCCTCAGAATCTACTTCATCTTTCCTAAACCCAGATGTGCCTTTGGGACTGCCTGGTGGATGGAAGGGTGGAAGTGATGCTGTGTAACTTCCAAGGCAGGCTCATCAAAGGGAATATGCTGACCACTAGGCATTCTCTTTCCTGGACCACATGCCGTGGACATGCTGACTGTCCGCGGAAGAAGCCCAGCCACCCTGCACCTGTCACACTGCACAAACCAGGTGGAGAGACCCCCTAGATACAGAGACGGCCAAGCAGTCCCAGTCCTTAGACATTCGGGGCCCTGGAGGTGCAAGTGACCGGCTTTCAGGTAACTGCAGTTCCCACCTGTGGCTTCATGGAGGACTCTGAATGACAGGAACTCATGGAGATGAGCCCAGGCCCTGAGACAGTAATAAAATGACCAGGCTCAGATGCCGATGCTGAGAGCTGCCTGAGAAAACCTGTCCTGTGCCGCTTCATCATCTGGTGATCACTAGATGTGTTGGGGAGAATGTCAGCTCGCTGGGTTTAGAAACTCAGCTCCTCGGGAAAAGCTCTCCGCTGGGAGCTTCTCAGCAAAGAAAAAGTGATTTCACCGCCCGTTCTTCCCGTCCTGGTCTCTGCTTGCAAAGAACAATCTTAGGCTTCTAAAAATCGTACTTTCAAATAGTTGGCTCTTGCTTGTTAATAGTTTGCAAACACATGTTAAAATTTACTGGCTCATAAAATTGTTTCCAGCTTTTCAGGCACAAAGATAGTGAGAGGGAAAAAAAAGCCCTGGCCAGACGACCATGTTTACTGGATGAAAACCTCTAGGAAAGGCCCATGTTAAGAACAGGACTGGGCATAAAGGAATCCACTTCAAGGTGACCTAACTACTGGCTTCTCTACGATTTTTGACCTTCACTCTCTGATCGCATCTCTTTTCAGTCTACAGCCTTCTGAGTTCTTTAGCAGCTTTCTTTCATAAAAGAAAAGATCTTGAACTTGATTTGTGGTCTTGTTCTAATGAATGGTGTTCACACAACATTTCAAGCAATGATCAAATTTCCTTCCTATCTTTTGCAGCAGACAGATAATGGTGTGATACACTACTAGGTGCAGAAAACTCAGTATTCCCCTTGTGGTAAAAACATGAATTTGAAATTAGTGCTAATTTACTCTAGCACCACCACTAAAAGCCTTTGGGTACTTTGGGTAAATTAGCACAGACTCTCTGAGTTAAGGGCTTCCCTGGTGGCTCAGATGGTGAAGAATCTGCCTGCAATGCAGGAGACCTGGGTTCGATCCTTGGGTTGGGAAGATCCCCTGGAGGAGGGCATGGCAACCCACTCAAGTATTCTTGCCTGGAGAATCCCACGGACAGTCCTGGAGAGCTACAGCCCATGGGGTCGCAAAGAGTTGGACACGACTGAGTGACTCACACTTTCACTCCCCCTGAGTTAAAGTCCCCTCATGGCTCAGCACATAAAGACTCTGCCCGCAATGCAGGGGACACAGGAGTTGCAGGTTCGATCCCTGGGTTGGGAAGATCCCCTGGAAGAGGGCATGGCAACCCACTCCAGTAGTCTTGCCTGGAGAATCCCATGGACAGAGGAGCCTGGTGGGATACAGTCCAAATAGTCACAAAAAGTCAGATATGACTGAACGACTAGAGACACAGCCATGCATGTCACAACACTACAATCCCCAGCGCCTTTTCTTCAAAGAGTTGTATATGTTCAGTTGAGCTAAAGTGTTTAGAAGGTCCATGAAAAATGTTAGAATGTGCAAAAATAAAAAACAGTATTTTTCTCTTTAAACAAATAAAAAGTTAAAAAAAAAAATCAATGCTGTCTATAAAGCCATATATAGTGACAAGGATGATCCTGGAGATTGTCCTACTGAGGAAGTAAGTCAGAGAAAGACAAATATCATATGATAACACTTATATATGGAATCTGAAAAGAAAGGGGTAGAAATGAACTTATGTATAACATGGAAATAGATTTACAGAGTTACAGCAGACAACAAACGTATGATTACCGAGGAGGTAAGGAGGGGCAGGGATAAACTGGGAGACTGGAATTGATACACACACTACTGTATATAAAGAGGTAACTAATAAAGATCTACTGTACAGTGCAGGGAACTCTATTCAATACTCCTGAATGACCTATCATGGGAGAAGAATCTAAAAACACAGTGGCCATGTGGATATGTATAATTGAGTCACTTGGCTGTACCCCTGAAACTAACACAGCACTGTAAATCTACTATATTCCGGTTAAAAAAAAAAAATCAGTGCTGTCTGATCAACTTTTTGTGATGATAAGAAACTTCCCACCAGCAGCTCTTGAGTCCTTGGCACTGATGACTGAGAAACTGGACTTTTAGACTTTACTTACTTTTAATTATTTTAAAGTTAAGTAACCACTAGTGGTGAGTGGGCACTTTCTGGACACCTTCGGCTCCTGTGATGATGGCGCAAAGAGGACCAGGGCCACTGCTGACGGATGGGGTGCTCGACGCTGCGGATCGCGGCAAGTGAGCCTGAGTCCTAGAGTGACAAATGCCAGCCTGCACACCTGCGCTACCCAATCAGTCAGGTTAATTTTCCTATCTTTAAAGACCCGCTTAAAACACACTGCTGAACGCAGGGGTTCACCTGGAGCCTCAGGAGACATGGTGATGGCTGTCAATCCCTCGGGGTTAAGGAAGAAGCACTTATGTGGATCATGAAAAAGCAGCAGATTTATTGACCAGCCCTGCCACACGCCTCTACAAATGTGAGTTACCCTGGGGTGGGCCTCAGTGGGGAGACACCAAAAGCATCTCAGAGCCACCTGTGAGCTGAGATTATGTTCCAAGAACCTATAATTTATATAAAAGTCTTACAAATCTAATGATATCACAGCATGTTTTTTAAACAGGCAGCATTTAGCAGCTTTCTGATTCTCCATGTAGAAGGAATCTCAGAGTTTTACCCCTGGGGTCTTTCTTGCTTTCCCTTCATTAATCTCCCCCCGTCCCGTCATTTGCTTTTATGTATATTTTTATCTCCTGTGGTTCTTGACTAACATTTTTAAATTGACATTTGTTTTTTGCTGCACATAGGAGAGACTCTCAACTGTAGCCTCAACATTTTGTCTCCTTTCCCAACTGTGTGACAGGTTGGCACCTGACTTCTCCAAAATCTCAATTCCAGGGCAGATAGACCTACCTTCTCAGGGGGCATATTTACGACTTGCAGGGACTATAAGACCCTTCTAGTTTGTCTTGTATGCTGGGAAGAAGAGGAGAAGGGCTTGTTTCTTTGGAAGGTCTTCTCTTCTATTTATGTTCACATCTAAATCCACCTGAAGGCTCTCCTCCAGACGGTTCCTCTCGTGTTTTTGCTATGTCCCTTATTATCATGATGCTGAAAACACACATTTGTCCTCTTCTCCCCAAAGTAATGAAATTCTCCTTCATCTCCATCTAAGCATTACTGTAGCATGACTCACACGTGACAACAGCAATTTTTAAAAATTCCCCTGAAGATCTATTCTTTCTAAAGTAACAGATGAAGAGCATCTTTGAAGATTACTAGGGCCAAGTCCTTGCTGCAAAGGAGCTCACAGACCAGATTTCTGGTCCACGGTCTGCCCGCCTCCTTGGTGTCAAAGATGGACTTACAGCTTTGCTGAGCTTTTGCATTTTTGGCTCATTTATTTACCAAAGAATTTGTGTTCCCTCCTCTGTTCTTGTAACATTTTCCAATGAAACCTATGCAGCCATCTCATCGAGAACCTCACCTGGCATCTCCACCTCTTCCTCTTTTTCCCTCTGCAGCCGTGGTCTTCTAAAATACTCTGTGTATTTGTCTGTCTCTTGTGTTTCCTATCTGTCTCCCCCACGAGAGTGCAGGCCCCAGGAGGGAAGGTATCTTTGTTTGTTTCATATATTGTGCATCCTCCTGGGCCTAGAAGAGGGCCTTTCATTCCAAGGGTGATAGCTAAAATTTGTTAAGCTGTTAAAATATTCTGCAAAGGAGTGCCTCTGTGTTTCATAATTCTAAAAATTAGTAATTAAGCAATAATACCACATGAACTAACCTACGATAAATTCACTTGAGAATAAACTGTGGTTTTGCCTAAATATGTCCAGACCACCAACGCAGAAACTTTTGTTGTCTGGTCTCCAAAATTTCACTCACGGAGTTCTGCTGAGTCATGTTTCTTCCCTGCATGAATTGGTTCACTTACTGTGCGCAGATAAAGCAGGCTTAGTTTTTAATTAGGTTGTGATAACAGGGAAGGCCGGATGAATCTCTTCAGCTTTCTAATTCAGAAAAGTTTACATGGACTAGCGACTGACTTTCTGAACTGTTCTGTTTGAGGCTCCTCATTGGATGTGGAAGTCGGGATAGGAGTGAAGGAAAGTGATATATAAGTAGCTTTTCCCTAAGAGGCTTAGAGATTTGAATTAATATTCTTTATCTTTAATGATTAAGGGGCCCCTGGCAAGCCAAGGATGGATTTAATTCTATTAAAAATATACCAGGGCGGCAGTGCTGTACGGGGCGCCCAAAGGCCAGAAGTCAGCATCCATAACCCAGCAGGGCAGCCCCCTTCTTCCCCAGGGCTAACCTTCATTCGCCGAGTCCCTGGCTGCAGCCCACAGGCAGGCGCTCACAGCCTCGTAGGAGGCGCTCAGCCGCGTGGCGGGGTCCCTCTTTGGCTTGGGCGGAGGCTGTTTCCGTGGTGACGGGAGGCCGCTGCCGTCATCCAGGCTGAACACGGAGTGCAGAGAAGGAGGCCTGGAGGACGGACCAGCCAGGGACTGGGCCAGGCCGTCCACTGCCGCGGGGACTGGGATGGAGCTACAGTGGAGGCGCCTGGGTCCACTCTTGTCTTCAGCTCTGGGGGGAGAGAATGAACACAGAGAGCCCCGGCGGAGGGGCCCAGGGGCATCACTTAGATGGTAGCAGCGAACCACTCGAGCACACGTCATCTCGGCTCCTGGGTAAATCAGCCTTCCCGCAAGGCTGGGGGATGCAGGCAGCGCTCCGGTACCCAGGGCCTGTAGGGTCAGCCACTCCATCCTTCCAGGCCCGCTTCCTGACAGACAAGCACGTACCAGCCTCACCATGATTACTTCACGAAAAACATCTCACCCAAGCCCAAGACGTCTCAAGGAGCACCACGTTTGCTATCAGGCGTTCGCTGAGTCAATTTTTCACACTCCGATTATTAAGCAAATCAAAAAAACAGAATTTCAATCTGAATGATAATTTCTGGGAAATCCATCTTAATAGAGAGTTACTGATGCATCAATTGCTGGGAGTTCATCACTGTTCATCCTTGCAAAAGGGTATATACTTAAAATGATCAAAGATTTTCATTTTCCCAGTCTCTCTCGTTCTCTCTTTCCCTTGCCATTTAAATTCCATCAGCAATTATTTAATTATGTGCAGAATTGTTATTTTTCTTCTGTGGCTCCATCTGGTTGCCCAATGCCAAGTGAACTGCCGGTATTCAATAAATAAATAAGACGAATACTTATTCACTTAATTTTATATCGGGCAAATGAATACATGATGAAATTGAGAAATTGGGGTGGATGTTTAGCTCCAGCAGAGAAAATAATAAATATTATTCTGGAAGTCATATAAAATTAATAGTTATCTGGTTAAAAAAAAATTTCCTTCTGGCTTCACATGTCAATGTAATCGTGCGCGAGGGAGATGCCAATGCGTTCGTTTCACAAGGAGTCTCAGAGCATTTGTTTTTATAATTATATCGTTGTGTGGCAGGGAACCAACAGGGCTGGGATCCACTGCCAGGCGGATCGGACGCCCATGTAGGGAATGAACGCGCTGAGGATGAAAGTGTGGCTCTCGGAGGATAATTTGTTTTCCCTGTAATGTTTAATTACAGTTTTCCGTACAAAGGGACTTTTTTCAGCATTTAATCACTGAGATATTTGAAGCTAATTAGTGAGAGACACACCACCATTTCCACTTTAATAAAAAATCATTTGACATTGCAGTCAAGGCCGGGGGTGGGTGGGAGGGGCGGTCATCTGCAGTGAGGAGCAACTAGATATTGCTGTGTTCCTATGGAAAAGTGTCTCCCTGAGGCTTTGGGAAGGTCATGCACACACCGCTATACTCAAAGCGGAGAGCATGTAGAACATGTGGAACTTTGCTCATTGTCACGGGGCAGCCTGGATGGGAGGGGTTTGGGGGAGAATGGATACATGTGGATATATGTGTGGCTGAGTCCCTTCACTGCTGTTTGCCTGAAACTACCATACACTGATAACTGGCTATACCCCAAATACAAAATAAAAAGTTAAAAGTCTGGGGGGGTGGGAAATCTTCCTGATAGCAAATTAGGATGGAAAGGACCAGGGAGGATTATCGGTCATGAGTGTCTTCATCTGTGACAGAGAGACAAGAGAGGTGAAACGGAGAAGGACCTGGATTTCTTCACTTGGCTGTTTCAAGATCAGCATCCACCGTGAACCCTAAAAGCTTTCCTTACTGGCAATGAAGATGAGAGCGCTTCCTAAGGGAAATATAATACAGGCCACCACTGATCGGGTTCACTGCTCTCGTATTTTCAGGGCGGTGTCTCCATTTTGGGGGCCAAATCTTCAGACGTTTCTGTGAGTCAGCCTTATTTATATAGATGACACTTGCGTAAAGATGTCGAGATCCCAGCTATACGTTTTTGCTAAGATGGAAACATTAGAGGACTTAAAACATGGTCCGTGAGGGACTTCCCTGGGGGCCCAGTAGTAAAGAATTCATCTGCCAATGCAGGGGACACGGGTTCGATCCCTGGTCCCAGATTATCCCATGTGCCGTGGGACAACTTGGCCTGGGCTCCTAACAAGAAAACCACCTTGATGAGAAGCCCACTCACTGCACCTCGAGGGTAGCCCTCGACACCCGCTCACCGAAACCAGAGCAAGCCAGTGCGGCAACAAAGACCCAGCACGGCTGATAAATAACGAAATTAAAAATTAAAAAACAATCTCGGTGCTTGAGGTGGCAAATGATGTGGGCGTTAGTGCAGCAGTTATTTCACGCGACCTGAATAAGCACACGGAGCATCCACTTTGTAGAAGGGAAGCCCAGGCAGTGTATCCTTTCGGATGGCAGGAGGTCTCACTTCACACAGCGGGCATGCATATACGAGTGTTCCTCTCCCTATGGCCACGTGTGATTGAATGTTACATTAACAGCTATCAGCGCTGGGACTGCTTTGGGGTCCGGTGGTTAAGACTTTGTCTTCCAAAGCCACGGCGTGTGGGTCAGATCCCTGGTGAGGGAGCAAAAACCCCACGGGCTTCATGGCCAAAACACCAAAACATGAAACAGAAGCAATATTGCAACAAACTCAATGAAGACTCCAAAAACAGTCCATTTAAAAAAATATTTTAAAAACAATATTTAAAAATATTTAAAAACAAAAGCACTATGGGCATTTTCTTGCTCCCCCGCCCCCCGCCGATGAACCATGTGGGTGACGGAAGGGGCCACCGCCCGCTGTTACCTTTTGGGGACTTCCTCCTGCTTGCCCCGGGCCTCCAGCTTCTCTCTGTGGAAAGCGGCGTTCATCTCATTCCGGAGCCGGTCATTCTCGCGGGCGATGTCCGAGGCGTTCTGAACGACCAGGGCATCATAGGTCTTCAGTCCCAGGTCCTCCGTGACCTGCAGGAAGCTGTTGATGGACGTGACCTCCTGCTGCCGGACGCTCCTTTTCTGATGCACGTGCTGGCGGGCTAAAAAGCCTCTGACCACTTCAGTGAAAGAACACAACCGTGGGTCAGAAACCCAGACGTCCACCACCGAGTCAGACACATCATGTCGAAAGAGTAAGTGTTAGTTCTCAGTCGTGTCCGACTCTGTGCGACCCCCTGGACCCACCAGGCTCCTCTGTCCAGGGGATGCTCCAGGCGGGAATACTGGAGTGGGGCTGCCATTTCCTCCTCCACAGGATCTTCCCGACCCCGGGATGCAACCCCGGTCTCCCACATTGCAGGCAGAATCTTTACCGACTGAGCCTCCAGGGAGGACATCATGTCTGAACAGCTCTAAAACAAAATATTCTTCACCCAGTCTAGGACTTTACTAAAACATTCTAATGTTGTCTTAAGAAAGATACCCACACTTTCAGGAATGACAGCAATGGAGGTAAAAACCCTTACCCTGACTGAGTAGGTAATATCCTGATAAAGCCCCCTCCTTCTGTGGTAGCACAGTCTGGACATTGATGGAAGGAAGTCCAAACCCCAGAGAATTCCGGGTGTGTCTCCAATGCACCAATTGCATTGTATCAGATTATAAGAGAAACATCTGAGGCCCCTGGGAGTGGTCTCCTAGAATGCCATGCACATACTGTTCACAGGACTGGGATTTAACTCCTAGAAAAACCAGCTCTGCATTTAAGGCTCTGCGAAGAGATTGTGTAGAAATATGGGGTATCCTTCTGCTTTCTGGGGAAGCAGGGCTAGAAAAACATGCAAGAATCGGGGGAAAACAGGTGGGTGAACACACTTTGAAATCACTGATATGTCAGTAACAAATGTAAGACTTGCAAAGAAAAATCACACCCGCTGTTTAAAGGCAGTGGCACATGCCAGGCACCCCATCCCGTCTTTCAAGGCCCGAACTCAATGATCACTGATGTACCCATCCCTTCATTCTGTGGGCTTTCCAGGTGGCAGTAGAGGTAAAGAATCTTCCCCCCAATACAGGAGATGCAAGAGACACGGGTTCAATCCCTGGGTTGGGAAGTTTCCCGGGAGAAGGGAATGGCAACCCACTCCAGTATTCTTGCCTGGGAAATCCACTGGGCGGAGGAGCCAGGCGGGCTAGAGTCCACGGGGTTGCAAAGAATCTGACACCACTTAGCAACTCAACACCAACAACAGCAAATCTTCACTTTGTCCCCAGAGAAACAGAAGCTTACTGAGGTTAAGAAAACTCCTCCAAGTAGACACAGCCCACCAACAGGAGAGCCAGGGCGCAGATCTCTGCTCTTACAAGGCCAAACTCCGTCATGCAGCCCTGGAGACAGGCTCTGTAGTTCTCCAGATCGGATCACAACAGGGAAGGTGTAGGGAAGTGTGTGTTTGGGATCAATAAGAGGAAAAAATTTCAAACAATGAGCAAAGCTGGCAAATGGATCAGGCATGTCATGGGAAAGAGGGTCAGTTCCCCGTCCCCGGGCAAGTTCAAGAAACAGGATGGGCCCTGCTCAGGGAGGTTCTGACAGGTTGGGGGTGGGGGTGGGTTCCAATTAGATGCCCAGATGCGTCTCTTCCCAGTCTGAGTTTCTAAAACTAGAAGGAGTTGTTTGGATTATAGGAAGAGCTATAATTGTAGGGAAAATTACTGTGGGTATGTGCTCAGTCGCTCGGTCATGTCCGACTCTTTGCAATCCCCATGGACTGTAGCCCGCCAGGCTCCTCTGTCCATGGGGTTCTCCAGGCAAGAACACTGGAGTGGGTTGCCATTCCCTTCTCCAAATGTGGTTATAAAGACACTTTATTCTCCTCTGTAGGGAGGAGGTTACCCTGTAAAACATTAAGTGTTTTAAAATATTTCCTGGCTATGGGAGGATAAATGTGTGGGTATCTACATATGTCTAGGATATTTACTTAAATACCTTGACTCTATTCAAATTGTTAATCAGCTATACCACAACACAAAATGTTTTTGGTTAATAAAAATAAACAAAAAAGTTTTTTAAATGGTGGGAAGGTGAACATAACTTTCTACGACTGTGGCTTCAGAGGCAAAAAATACACAGATGTCTAAAATGCTCAAGGCCTTTTTTTTTCAGACGGCTATACTAAATGTTCACTTTACTTTGGAATGCGGTTGTATTAACTGTAGAAACAGTCATGCTGAACTAATCTAAAAGAGAAAAGGATTAAACAGTGAAAGGTACAGTCAGACTTCAGGAATACAAAATGCAGAATAAAATGCAGAAATATTAACCATGTGACAGGCAGAGGGAGAGAGAGAAGCAGAAAGCGTCAAACTGGCCAGTTGACGTGCTCGTTTGAAAAAGAGAGACCGTGACTTTCGGAAGCCGAAGGGGAGGGTACATTCAAGATGTTTAATCTCTCAGAATAAAGAGACAATTAACGTGGACAAGCCAGACTTCTGACCTCTGACTACAGAAGGACAATTCATTGGATTCGTATTCACCTGGGAATCCACTGTTCACTGTTCAGACTCTGTTCTCCTGCATTTTGCACTACTGATCTTTGAAAAAATTTTTAAAAATTGTTATAGGAGTTGCTAAAATGTGGCATCTTTATGACGAGACAACTAATGAACTAAATCTGCCACAAATAGGTAATTGATTCTGCCTCTTTCTGACAATTCCATGCAGGGTAAAATGAAGGTATACAGTCAGAGGAAAACTTCTGTTGGCAATCATCTACAATTGAAATGATTAAACTTCAGACTGAAAGTTACAACTTTCTTCCACCTAATATTTATAAGGAAAAACTGAGAACTCTTGAAAAACTGGAAATGACTCCAGATGCTTTAACTTCTGAGTGAATTTCACATGTGCAAAAAGGACTGAAGCTACAGTTCCAAGAGATGTAAAAATAAAAATCAATAATTAAATACTTTGCATTGAAGAGCCTGTAAATTAAAAAAAATGCTTTTACAGCCATTATTTCATTTATGCAATAGAAAATTATGGTTTTTATCTTGATGCCATTTTTAAAAACCCATTCTCGACTTTTATCATTAGACGCGAAGAAAGAACTACGGTTCTGCTCATTTCTTGTTTCAGGTCTGCAGGGCTCAGCGACTTCACACTGGTAACCAACCCGAGGAGGCACTTCCAGCGGCACCCCTGCCGAGGGCAGAGCGCACAGTCCTCTAATCACAGTTCCAGGAGAAAGTGCACGCGAGTCGTGCAGTCGTATCTGACCTTTTGAGAGTCAGATGCGACTGTAGCCCGCCAGGATCCTCTGCCCATGGGATTTTCCAGGCAAGAATACTGGGATGGGTTGCCACTTCCTGTTCTAGGGGATCTTCCCAACCCAGCAATCAAACCCAGGTCTCCTGCTGACTCTGCCATCTGCGCTACCAGGGAAGCCCCGAGAGAGTGATGTGTGTAACGAGGGGCTGACTCCACAGCCCAGGGGCGAGTGCGCTCAATCCCACCTTCAACCGCAGGCTGCAGAGTCGCATTCAGATTCAGGGGGTCTGGGGTGGGTGGGGCCTGAGAGTCTGCACTTCTCACCAACTCCCGGGGGGATGCCAGGTCTGACCACACAAACAGGAAGTGCAAAGGTGGTGGTCAAGAGCAGGCCTGTGAGCCCAGCCTTCCCTACACTGTGCATGTAAACTCTCCATGCGCTCAGTCACTCAGTCATGACCGACTCTTTACAACCCCATGAACGGTGGCCCCCCAGGCTCCTCTGTCCATGGGATGCTCCAGGCAGGAACACTGGAGTGGGCTGCCACTCTCTCCTCCGGGGGATCTTCCTGACCCGGGAACCGAATCCACGACTCCTGCACTGCAGGCAGATTCTTCAATGTCTTAGCCACCGGGGAAGTCCACGAAGGAGGCCAGACCAGCCTGACCCAGACAGAAGCAAGGAGTGCACACAGCTGGGAGTTGGCCCCTCCCTCAGCAGAGGCTCCTCCCACCGCCCCGATCTCCAGGCTGGTCCAAGTGACCTCAGGGGACCAGGCAGAGAGCCTGCCACGTGGTCTGGGGTTTGGAGGACTGGCTGCCAGAGGCTGACTGCAGGAGTAGCCTAGGAATCTGAATGCGGAGCTGCACCCAAGTGTCGCATGGGGCTTTTTCCCCACGGCAGGTTCGGAGGCACACTCTTCTTGTCCTGTGCTTCTTGGAGGATCAACAAATCGGATATTTTCAAGCTGTGCATGTGTGCGTGATCAGTCACTTCAGTCGTGTCTGACTCTTTCCGACCCCATGGACTGTAGCCCACCAGGCTCCTCTGTCCACGGGATTTTCCAGGTAAGAATATTGCCATTTCCTCCTCCAGGGGATCTTCCCAAACCCAGGGGTCAAACCCTCATCTCCTGTGTCTCCTGCATTACAGGCTTACCCACTGAGCCACCAGGGAAGCCCATTTTCAAGGTGAGGGATGCATCCATTAAAAGATACGTATATCCCCTCTTCCAGATTATGGCTTAGGTGACAATGAGGTACAAACTGCAGATGGAATGACCATCAGGTAAAGCATAAGCCACGTCTGCACCCTCTGATCTAGAGACAGGTAGACGGCCAACTTTAGCTGACAGTGCTTTCTGAACTCCAGAACCTATTTATTTGCCCGAAGGTGGTGCCATGGGATGGGTAGACGTAGGGCCGTGGCAGGGTCCTCTCTAACGTAGGTCCCCCGAAGATTTAAAAGTGGGGGTTCACTCGATGGCTTGTATTGCACAGTTCAGCGAAGTTCAGAACTGTGACTGAACTGTGCCCGTCAAGTGTGTGACTGTTACCTTTTTGGCAGGTGATAATTTTTCCCTGCAGCTGGCGGCACAGATCGTTCAGTTGGCTGGCGTGCCAGTATTTCAGGAACACTTTGCGAGCTCCAATCTAAAACGCAAACAGCAGGGAGACATTTAGCAGCAGGAAGATGCCAAAATAACAATGGGAAAATAATCAGGCAAGAGGTTTTTTTTTTTTTTTTCAGAGAAGGATTAGCAGGAGCAAGGCTAACAAAAGTAATTCCAGTACCTCTTTTATTTTTTTAAAAAACATTTTTCCATTTAATCAAAATCTCAAAGCTTTTTTTGCCTTAATAAGTATGTTCACTGTATGTAAACAGTGTCAATAATGTTTGCAAATACCCATCCACTCAAGTTGGGGTGGCTGTACCATGCAGTCGAAAGAAAAACACTGGTCTTGACTCTTTATTGGAAGATATAACCATTCCCATGAGTGAATTCCCAAATCCCAGAGCCAAACTCTTATCTCTCCTCTTCTCACAGTAAGGAGAACAAGTCTGTGGAAAGGGAAAAAAATGAACAAACAAAATACCAGAAACAAAACCTACTTAAAGCTGACACATGGAACTGCTTCATGTCAATGATTTTTTCCTACTACTCCATATATTATTATAAACCAAATGTTTACGTAACTGCAACCACAGAACTGCAGCACAAAAGTAAAGCATCTCCACACAGTCTCTGAGCAATAACCTTCTCGAGGCCTGCCTGAACAGTAGCTATACCATGAACATCCTTATCTAGCGTTTTAAAAGGGGAATTTAGGCATGTTAATGAATCAGCTCCTATTAAAAGCTCTGGTGGTATGCAAGTCGGTCCAAATGTTCTGCTCTTGATGAAGACAGCTGCCAAAGAAAGTTCTTAAAAACACACAACAATAAGCTGCAGCCTTGCATTTTCACGATAATTATCCGGTGTGTTGTGCTTATTTTCTAAGAATTCACAGGACTGGGGTAGGTGTGAGGACTGTCCTTCACAATGGAAACGCTCACAGTCTCTTCGGGGAAGCAGAAGCGAATCACTGCAGAAAAGCCTGGGAAATACTAAGATGAAGGGACTGTGGATGCTCAGAGGTGACGTCCTGTTAGATAAGAAGAAAATACAGCTTGGACAGACCTTGTGATATTGTTCACAGCCATCTCCTTAGCACTGCTGACAAGCACCATGGAACACGTGTGCCCAAGCATGAGCTGTGGGCACTGACACGCTGACCCTTGCAGCCTGAGGCCAGCATCACAGGGACACGAGCCTGGCACGGGTCTAAACACCATTAGGTACCAGAGAGGCTGACAGGTCAGACTGGCCATCAGACTGCGGAGCCCGAGGTGACGATGAAGCTTTTCACATGGAAACTGAGTTGATTCCAGACATACTTTGTCACTTTCCAGAGATCAAACCAGTCAATCCCAAAGGAAATCAACCCGGAATATTCATTGGAAGGACTGATGCTGAAACTGAAGCTCCAATACTTTGGCCACCTGATGCAAAGAGCTGACTCATTGGAAAAGACCTTGATGCTGGGAAAGATTGAAGCGGGGAGGAGAAGGGGACGATAGAGGATGAGATGGTTGGATGGCATCACTGACTCCATGGACATGAGTTTGAGTAAGCTCCGGGAGTTGGTGATGGACAGGGAAGCCTGGCATGCTGCAGTCCATGGGGTCGCAAAGAGTTGGACATGACTTGGCGACTGAACAACAATCTTTCCATCTAGCTCTCTTGTTAGCCAGTTTGCTGTCTTCATGAAACACAGTTTTGCAAGAGATTGAGACCTGAATCTTGCATTATGGCAGCCAGGCTAGCTATTTGAACAGGCAGGGAAAGCCCTCTCCACCCTCCTGTTTCCGAGGCTCCTGGTTGACTAGATGTCCGCTTTCATTTACTTTTCTTTCTGTTGGTTGAAATACGAGGTAGGCACTTGAGTGGGTGGCCACAGAGAATTGGTACTTTTCCTCCCATTGTATTGCCATTCTGTCTCCCCAGTTATTTTCCATAATTCATAGTTTTTTTTTCCTTCCCAACTGCTGACTTATTTTGGCAGTCAACAGGAAGAACAGTTGGTACTGTCTGTGAGCGCCACGGAGCAAATCTGTGAGACAGGCACTGGGGGTGGGGGGGGGCATGTCATCTTCTGTTCCTTGTCGATTGTGGAATGTAACTCACTGTGGATGCGTGTGTGCTAAGTTGCTTCAGTCGTGTCCGGCTCTTTCTGACCCCGTGGACTGTAACCTGCTAGGCTCCTCTATCCGTGGGATTCTCCCGGCAAAAATATTGGAGTGGGTTTCCATGCCCTACTCCAGGGGATCTTCCCAACGCAGAGATCGAACCCACATCTCTTATTTCTCCTGCGTTGGCAGGGGCTTCCCTGGTGGCTCAAATGGTAAAGAATCTGCCTGTGATGCAGGAGACCTGGGTTCAATCCCTGGGTCAGGAAGATGCCCTGGAGAAGAGAACGGCTACTCACTAGAGTATTCTTGCCTCGAGAACTCCATGGACAGAGGAGCCTGGGAGGCAAGCTACAGTCAGTGGAGTTGCAAAGACTTGGACATGACTGAGCAACTAAAGGGCTTCCCTGGTGGCCCAGAGGTTAAAGCACCTGCCTGCAATGTGGGAGACCTGGGTTTGATACCTGGGTAGGGAAGCTTCCCTGGAGAAGGAAATGGCAACCCACTCCAGTATTCTTGCCTGGAGAATTCCATGGACAGAGGAGCCTGGTGGGCTACAGTTTATGGGGTCGCAAAGAGTCGGACACAACTGAGCCGACTGCCAGGCCAGGAGCAACTAACACTTTCACTTTCTTTACCACTAGCACCATCTGGGAAGCCCATGTGACTCACGATAGGAAACTAAATCCTCAAAGCAAAATCTATGCAAACTTGGGTTCTGAAACCAAACTCCCAAAGCGTTATAGGCAGCAACGCTACATAGCAGGCAGCCTCAGTGATGACCATTGCGGGGCACTCGCCGCGAGGTGAGCCCTCAGAGTGGAGATAGAAGGGCTGGAATATAGTTCTTCTCCCTTAATTTGGCGGAGACCTTGGGAAGACAGCTGGGCGGGATGGCCAAGATCTCCTCTAGTGATATTTCTAACAGCCACGCCAAAAAGTCCAAGTAGCTGGGTCTTGAGAACTTTGCTAGATTTGAGGATACTAAAGAAATTCCCAGGGATGATGGGAAACGATGAAAGTGGGGCAGGAAAACTAGGCAAGGAGCAGAAAACGACAAACAGGTTTGAGGTACAGCCGTGGAAAGGGAGAAGGGAGGAGGCTACCCCGTCACTGATGGCCACACTGGGAGGCGTATTCCAGGGGACGCACAGACGCTTTCTTGCGAACCCTGGGTATACACTGGGAAGTTTAAGAGGAGGCCATCTAACTTTTCAACAGTTATTCTGGAAATGTATGAAGTTCCAGAAAATCAGAAAGAGAAAAACAAATATTGTATATGAACACATACATGTGGAACCTAGAAAAATGGGACAGCTGAGCTTATTTGCAGGGCAAGAACACAGACACAGATGTAGAGAGATGTGGAGGCCGGGTGGGGAAGGCGGGGTGGGGTGAACTGGGAGACTGGGATGGACATGTATACACTTCCAGGTGTGAACCAGGTCGCTCACGGGAAGCTGCTGATAGCAGAGAACTCAGCTTGCTGCTGCATGATGGCCTGGAGGGGTGGTACGCTGGGGTGGGGAGCCCCAAGAGGGAGTGGAAATATGTGTGCATAAGGCCGATTCAGCTCATCGAACAGCAGAAACCAACATGACACTGGAAGGCAACTATAGCCCAATAAAAAAAGAAGAAGAAAACTGGCTTGAGAGTGGATTGCTGGGCACGGTTTTGGCAGGACACTATAATAGGATCAATGATTCAGGTTTGGAAGATTCCACAACTGTTGTTTGTCCATTGGCCGATTTCTATTTGTCCTGGGCCCCACCTCCAGGAGTGGATTTTTGATGCCTGTTTCTTCCCATCCAGCAGGGCCTGTGTGACCTTCATCTGCATTCCCAGAGCAGCCGATGAATGATCCTTAGATTTTCTCTCTGTGCTGCAGTAGGTGTTCACCGCTGCACGTAGATATTTACACCTCCGGGAGAATGTGAAGAAATACTCCTGAACTTCACAAGCGGTAGCGTTTTGAGGAAGGTGACCGATGAGAAACAGAAGATGAGGAATTGTGAAGTCCCGGTAAAAGACGAGTCGCAGAAACAGACAATAATGTCTTCAAGGGTGAAAAGAAGGTATGACAGACACCGAACACATAAGCCAGGACTAGAAGTCATTCAGCAAATTGGAAATAAGACCTGGACTCAGTTCAGTTCAGTCGCTCAGTCGAGTCCGACTCTATGTGACCCCATGAATCGCAGCATGCCAGGCTTCCCTGTCCATCACCAACTCTCGGAGTTCACCCAAACCCATGTCCATTGAGTTGGTGATGCCATCCAGCCATCTCATCCTCTGTCGTCCCCTTCTCCTTCTGTCTTCAGTCTTTCCCAGCATCAGGGTCTTTTCCAGTGAGTCAACTCTTCACATCAGGTGGCCAGAGTATTGGAGTTTCAGCTTCAGCATCAGTCCTTCCAGTGAACAACCAGGCCTGATCTCCTTTAGGATGGACTGGTTGGATCTTCTTGAGTCCAACGGACTCTCAAGAGTCTTCTCCAACACCACAGTTGCTTTTAGCATCAATTTCTGTGCTCAGCTGTAGGTGACAGAATAAATGGTGGAGGGACTAAACGAAAAGGACAGAAGACAGAAGGTCAGGCATGATGATTTACCTATTTAGCTGATCCCTCTCTTCCCTGATGGCTCAGTTGGTAAAGAATCTCTGCAATGCCCAGTTCGATTCCTTGGTCAGGAAGATCCCCTGGAGAAGGGAAGGGCTGCCCCCTCCAGTATTCTGGCCTGGAGAATTCCATGGACTGTACAGTCCATGGGTCGCAGAGTCAGACACGACTGAGCGACTTTCACTTTCACTTTCCCTCCTCTAACAAGGGCTTTCCAGGTGGCGCAGGTGGTAAAGAACCTGCCTGCCAATGCAGGAAGGTGTAAGAGACATGGGTTCGATCTCTGAATTAGGAAGGTCTCCTGG